AACATTATTTACTTGTCGGGATATCATTATATTGCCATGTTATCTTAATGCATCTATATACTTGGCAAAGGGTGGAAGGCTCGGCCTCTCGCCTAGTGTTTTGTTCCACTTTTGCCGCCCTAGTTTCTGTCATATCGGTGTTATGTTCCCGGATTTTGCGTTCCTTACGCGGTTGGGTGATCATGGGAACCCCTTGATAGTTCGCCTTGATTAAAGCTTTTCCCGCAATGCCCAACCTTGGTTTTACCATTTGCCACCTAGCCCCTTTTTCCCTTGGGTTTCCGGAGCCTGAGGGTCATCTTATTTTAAACCCCCCGGGCTAGTGCTCCTCTGAGTGTTGGTCCAACTCGTCAGCTGCCAGTGGCCACTAGGGGCAACTCTGGGCTGGCCTACCGGAAGTTAAGACAATCTGAGTGTGCCCTGAGAACGAGATATGTGCAGCTCCTATTGGGATTTGTCGGCACATTCGGGCGGTGTTGTTGGATTTGTTTTAACTTGTCGAAGTGTCTTGTAGAACCGGGATACCGAGTCTGATCGGAATGTCTCGGGAGAAGGTCTATTCCTTCGTTGACCGTGAGAGCTTGTCATGGGCTAAGTTGGGACTCCCCTGCAGGGATTTGAACTTTCGAAAGCCGTGCCCGCGGTTATGGGCAGATGGGAATTTGTTAATATCCGGTTGTAGATAACTTGAACCTTAACTTAATTAAAATGAATCAACAGTGTGAGTTACCGTGATGGTCTCTTCTCGGCGGAGTCCGGGAAGTGAACACGGTCTTGGAGTAATGCTTGCGCAGGTTGTTCTCTAGATTCTCGCTCGCGCTTTGCCTCCTCTTCTCGCTCTCTTTTGCGAACAGGATAGCCACCATATATGCTAGTCGCTTGCTGCAGCTCCACATATTTGCCTTGCCTTTCCTATTAAGCTTAAATAGTCTTGATCGCGAGGGTGCGAGATTGCTGAGTCCCTGTGGCTCATAGATTACTATTAAACCAGATGCAGGGCCTGATGTTTCCGCTCCAGATGACGCACTTGAGCTCAAGTGCGAGTTCGACGAGGACTCACGCTGATACTATGTGTATTTCCCTGATGATCAGTAGTGGTGCCCAGTTGGGGAGATCGGGACCGTGTCGCCTGTTGGGTTTATCTTTTATTTTGGCGCCATAGTCGGGCCATGAGTGTTTGAATGTTGTAATGCTATTTATGTACTTTGATTGACGTGGCGAGTGTAAGACAACTATGTATCTCCCCTTTTATTATCTATATTACATGGGATGTTGTGAAGATTGCCTAACTTGCGACATTGCTTTCAATGTGGTTATGTCTCTAAGTTGTGCCTCGACACGTGGGAGCTATAGCCGCATCGAGGGCGTTACAGTAGTGATGATAGCAATAGCAACGGAAAAGTAAATAAGCAAAGAACAATATATGGAAAGCTCGTAGGCAAGGGATTGATGATAGAGAATTATGCCGGATGTGGTTCATCATGTAACAATCATAACATAGGGTGACACAGAACTAGCTCCAATTCATCAATGTAATGTAGGCATGTATTCTGAATATAGTCATACGTGCTTATGGAAAAGAACTTGCATGACATCTTTTGTCCTACCCTCCCGTGGCATCGGGGTCCTAATGGAAACTAAGGGATATTAAGGCCTCCTTTTAATAGAGTACTGGAACAAAGCATTAGCACATAGTGAATACATGAACTCCTCAAACTATGGTCATCACCGGTAAGTATCCCGATTATTGTCACTTCGGGGTTAACGGATCATAACACATAATAGGTGACTATAGACTTGCAAGATAGGATCAAGAACTCTCATATATTGATGAAAACATAATAGGTTCAGATCTGAAATCATGGCACTCGGGCCCTAGTGACAAGCATTAAGAATAGCAAAGTCATAGCAACATCAATCTTAGAGTAAATTGCACAAAACCACCAGTTTGAAGGTTAGGTTTGCGAAAAACACCACAATACATTTTTTTGTAGAAAACACCTTGTCTACGGTAATCTTTTTGCAAATAACACTGATCGGCGGATTTGGTTCCTTTAAGCATGTTTATGACATGTGGGTCCATTTTTTGCTTACGTGGCATAACGTTTCGTGCCAGATGGGTTTTATTCTAAATTTACAAACTAGTTCCTAGAATTTACATAGACACCCCTGAATTGAAAAACAAAAATGCAATTAGCCCCCCACATGTGATCCCGATGTGGATCTCACGACGACTAGGGTGAGCGCCGCTGCACACGCAAGTCGTCCCCTTGGCTGCTTGCCGGTGTTGCCGGTTCTCACCGTCGCCACCAACTGCTGCTCCCCTCACTGCAACATGTCGAGATAGTTCTCGCTGCTGCCCTGTGAGCTGCTCGCCAGGTCGTGATTTTCTGCAGAGGAAGCCGTGGTCGGGAGCAGCACGGGCGCTTGGAGCGGCTGGAGGCTCCGGGCAGGCTCGGGCATTAGGCAGACGTAGGCGTGGCGGCACGACCTTGGCAGTCTCCCGAGTTTCTCTCTCTCTCCCTTCCTCGAACCAGCAGAGCAGCATGCAGGAGCGCCGCTGCCGCCCATTGCCATGGCCCTGAGCTCCACGAAATTCGTCGCAATTAACCAGCTCTCGCGTTGGATCCAGCAAGAATCGAGCCGCAGCCCCCTCTGCATCTCGGATTCCTGCTCCTCTGTCACGAGCGACGGTCGCGAGCAGCGGCGGGACCTGGATGAGGTAGGCGACCCTGGCGATGCAGTCGTCCTGGAGTGCGCGCACGGCGTCCTCGGCGCGTGGCGGAAGGGCGCTCCTCAGCCGGGGCCGGGACGAGCGGTGTCCTCTGCTTTCCCCTCGGTGCGACAACGGCGACGGCGTCCTCGGCGCGTGGCGGAAGGCCGCCCCTAGGCCGGGGGCGGGACGGGCGGCGTCCTCTGCTCGACTGCGGGTGCGAGACGTGAGAGATGTAGGTGGCGTGCGGCAACGTTGGAGCAGTGGGCGCGGACGTCGCTGGATCCGACATGGAGCGCGGCGGTGGAGGCTGAGCTCCACGGTGGCGTGGTTGGGGGGGCTGGGCGGCACGGGAAAGAAAGGTTGGGGGTGTTTTTGATTTAAACTCAGCTAACACCATTTTCAGCAAACCGTCATGGCATGTTAGCGAAAAGCGGGACCCATCTGTCATAAACATGCTTAAACGAGCCAAATCCGCCGATCAGTGTTATTTGCAAAAAGATTACCGTAGACATGATGTTTTCTGCAAAAAATGTATTGTAGTGTTTTTCGCAAACCTAACCTTCAAACTGGTGGTTTTGTGCAATTTACTCTCAATCTCAGAACATAGTGGATACTAGGGATCAAACCCTAACAAAACTAACTCGATTACATGATAGATCTCATCCAATCCATCACTGTCCAGCAAGCCTATGATGGAATTACTCACGCATGGCGGTGAGCATCATGAAATTGGTGATGAAGGATGGTTGATGATGACGATGGCGATGGATTCCCCTCTCCGGAGCCCCGAACGTACTCCAGATCAGCCCTCACGAGAGGTTTTAGGGCTTGGCAGCGGCTCCGTATCGTAAAATGCGATGAATTCTTCTCTCTCATCCCCCCTGAAAGCAAATATATAGAGTTGGAGTTGAGGTCGGAGGAGCTCCAGGGGGCCCACGAGGTAGGGGGGCGCGCCTTAGGGGGGTAGGCGCGCCCCCACCCTCGTGGACAGGTGGTGGTCCCCCTGGTCTTCATCTTTTGCAAGGATTTTATTATTATTTCCGAATGGATGTTCCGTGAAGTTTCAGGTCATTCCGAGAACTTTTGTTTCTGCACATAAATAACACCATAGCAATTTTGCTAAAAACAACGTCAGTCCGGGTTAGTTTCATTCAAATCATGCAAGTTAGAGTCCAAGATTAAACATATGATGAAACCCCACGCTATTAATAGATCTCATCCAACCGCACGCTATTACTTCACTAAATGCTACATCTACCTAGGTAGCTAATTTAGGAGGAGACAACTTCAACTAGTGGAGGCGGAAGAAAAAGGATAAATGAGATGCATTAATGGAGGTGGTGTAGTTAGCTAGGAGTAATAAAGAGAGAAAAAAGTAGGTAGAAGAGGGAGAGTAATGCGGGGAGAAGTAGTGAGGAAGAAGCAAAGTGAGGAAGAGAGGATGGGGGAGCGGGAGGAGGGAGGGAAAAGGTGGTATTATGCTGCGTCTTAGCAGTAGCGCGGGTCGTAAACCGCGCTATAGCTAGAAACATAGCAGCAGCGCGCTTCCGGCACACACGCTATTGCTAAGCGAGGCCCGCCATGTGGCCAGTTTCAAAATTAGCAGTAGCGCCGTCCAAAAAAGCGTGCTACTACTATAACTTTATCAGTAGCGTGGTCAGCAAGAGCGCGCTACTGCTAAACTTAGGGTGACGGGTATTGTCGGTCGATTTTAGTGGCGGCGTGGTTCCACTGGACCGCACTACTGCTAACTGAGTAGTAGTGGCGCTTGTTTTGTTCCCGCGCTACCAATAATTAGCAGTAGCGCCTCTTTTTGTACCGCGCTGCTGCTAAGATTTTGTGTATAAGGTTCCCTAGTAGTGATATTGTATGCGAACTGGCCCCGCTTGCATCCTTACGCTAGCCTCAAAACCCCAAACTGCCAAACCCTGACCGACATCTCAATGCACGCGCAAAATAATCTCCCAAAAGATCCCAGAGGCAAGTTTATCAATTTCATGAGATTGGGAGGCGGTGTTCCTTTGCTCGAAATAAAAAGATCCCAGAGGCAAGCGTAATTATGTATCCCTAGTGTACAAATGCTTTTATATTATGGGACGGAGAAAGTACTAGTAAACAGGAGCACATCATCCGAAAACCTTCTGATTGTAACACGTGGCACGTAGACATAGCCAGACGCAGCCATTTGCTAACCAGGAGAAACACACTGACACACACGCGCGCGCGCACGCCCCACACCCTACTCCACAGAGAGACTCGACAGGATCGCAGGCGTCCGGCCGCAATGGTGGGCCTCTCGAACGGCGTCCTGGGCGCCCTGAGCATCGTGTCCCTGGTGGCCGCCGCCCCGCTCCTCGGCGCGGGCGCCTACCTCCACGACCACGGCGCCTCCACCGAGTGCCAGCGCCTGCTGCGGCTGCCCACCCTCGCCCTCGGCGGCGGGATCCTCCTCCTCTCCCTCATGGCCCTCTTCGGCGCGTGCTGCCGCTCCTGCAGCCCGCTCCTCTGGCTCTACGTGATCGCCATGTTCCTGCTCGTCGTCGGCATGTTCTTCGTCGCCGTCTTCGCCTACGCCGTCACCAACAAGGGCGCCGCCACCGCCGCCGACGGGACCGGCTACGGGGACTACCGGATCGGGGACTACTCCGACTGGCTCAAGGACAAGGTCGAGGACTACGAGACGTGGCAACAGATCCAGAGCTGCATGGCCGACGCCGGCGTCTGCGGGGATGGCCGGTTCAGCGGCCGGCTCGGCGGCGTCTCCGCCGGGATCGACGCCACCGACTTCTACCGCCTGCATCTGCCGCTCCTCCAGGTATGCGTGCGCGCTTTGTGGATCCGTTTGGATGGTTGCATCTTGCATGGCGTGCATGTATCACGCACTCCTGCTCCTGCCAACTGTTAAAAACTTAAAACCGTTTCACTCAGATAACTTTTTGCCCTCTTCTCATTCTAGTAACTGAAATAATGCCCATTTATTTATGGAGATTGAACGTTGCATTAATATGTCCCTTCAATTCATGAGCTGCTAAGTAAGGCTGGTGATTAATTGCCTACATCCATATCTTGATCGCCATATAGCAAAGCTCTTGTTCATTTCACTAGAACTATAAACATCACTCGCTTGATGACTCAAAAGTACAAACACCAAAAATGCAATATCCAAACAATATCAAATATCGTGTAAACTGAGGATTGGCGTGAAAAATGTTGGTGGATGAACGAAGTGTATTTCTACTACAAAAGCTTTTTTTTGTTTTTGAAAAAACTGCCATTTTTCTGTAACCATGCCAAAACAATTAAGTTCATTCGAAAGAAACGATATTCAAGATATTAAATTGTTTTCTTTCTGTTTTATGTATCAAATATTGTGTGCATATTTTCTTCTTAAAAATGGCACTTGTCATTTGTTTTGTTTTTGGCTTGTTTCTTATTCCATCCATCCTAAAATCTAAAATACCCATGACTCCAAAATACAAGGTGTATTTGTATTCTAAAGTCAGATGTGTCTATGTTTGAGCAAGTTTATAGCAAAATATATCAACACCTACAATACAATTTCATGATGAATCTAACGACACCAATTTTGTATTGTAAATATTGATATTTTTTTATATAAACTTGATGAAAGTTAGAGAAGTTTAAATTTGAAAAAAAAAATTATACACCTTATATTTTGGAACGGAAGGGGTAAGAGATATTTCGACTCACTAAGCCAAGGTCTTAACCAACACAATGCTTGCTTTGCACAAAACTGATGTAGTTAGGTATGCTATGATTCTGTAACACATAAAAAACATATTGGTGGGGGTAAATAAAGTATCAATGAAAGATTTGTGCTAACGAATCAAAGTGTCTTATATTTTGAGATAACTTTTTTGTTTTCGTGGCTTAATGATCCCTGTTACTCTACTCTGCTCCTCCTTGAATAAATTAAAGCAGGTCATCGAGCCAGCTAACAAAGTGTCTGCTCTGAAATGAACAATCTTTTGCGTGCAGTCCGGGTGCTGCAAGCCGCCGGCGTACTGCGGGTACCGGGCGGTGAACGCGACGTTCTATGAGGCCCCGGCGAGCGGGCTGGGCACGGCGGACGCGGACTGCCAGGCGTGGAGCAACGAGCCGAGCCTGATGTGCTTCCGGTGCAACGCGTGCAAGGTGGGCGTGCTGGCCACCGCCAAGAGCAACTGGCGGGCCGTGGCCGGCGCCAACATCGCCGCCCTCCTGCTCATCCTCCTCGCCTACTCCCTCGGCTGCTGCGCCCTCCGCAACCACGACCGGCGTCGCCGCGGCGGATACTACTACTGATTGCTCTGGGGGCTTGTTAGTTGGTTTCAGGTTCAGGATTCAGAGAATCGGAGTAGATTTTCGAGCTCGTGCCTGTTCTTTCTTCTCTTTTGCTTATTAGTGCAGTAGCAGGAAGTAGAGCTAGCGCAGAGGTAACAGAGTTGATGTAAAATTTGTTTGGCATGAAGTCATGTTCAATGGTGTTCTTCAGTGTTCGAATCGGCCCAACCTGTGATCATGCGTTCTTTCTGCTGTGACTGCAAAGCGGTTTTGTGAATCGCAGCGACCATGATGATTAGTTGCTGACAGCCGGCAAGTCTAGAAATCCTGTTCAAAGTGAAGTGTTCTGAAATTTCCCATCCTCCATTTTGGACCCCTGCTGTCTCCTCTCGTACGTTGAACTTGAAGGACGCATGATGCATCTCCGCCGGCGTTTTACGTTCGATCTGTAGTAACAACGGGATCCAAGATACCCCTAGATAGGATCATAGGAGGGACAGCTTGTGCATTTCAGAAGTTCAACCCCCTCGCTGTCTTGTTTCTCCATGTTTGCTATTCAGCTCAAATGGCAAATTTATGACAGTTTGCAGAAGCAAAAAAGAAGAATCACAAGCAAAAAAAAAAGGAGGAGAGAGGGAGAAAAAAAATGGTGGTTCGTTGAAGTGGTAGGAGGGACAGCTTGTGCATTTCAGAAGTTCAACCCCCTCGCTGTCTTGTTTCTCCATGTTTGCTATTCAGCTCAAATGGCAAATTTATGACAGTTTGCAGAAGCAAAAAAGAAGAATC